TCACATCCATGTACTCCAGAAATGCCTGCTGCAAGGCCAGAGGACCTCAGTCTGCTGAGGCAAAGGTTCGCAGCTTACAAACCTGGGAAGCTCAGACAGGAGAGAAACAGACAATTCCTGACATATGCAAGGCCTGCACTGGGGTTTTCTGGCCTGTAACTTAAGACTCAAATTGCTCTTATGTAAGCCACATTGAGCACATATTTTATTGTAAGCCTGTGCTGTTCTGGGAAGAGCAAGCCTTTTGAAGAGTGGGATAACCAGGAAATGACTGCTGCACGCACAAGGAAGCGAAGCAGAAGAATCAGCAATCACTTGGGATCTTCATCACTAAAGATGACCAACTTCTGTCTCACACTCCCAAACTGCTGGGATGATTTTGCACTCTTCTAGCTCCTACTCCTCTCCCTGTGTTCAAGGTCCTTTCCATGTCACCTGGCTCAGTGTGATGCTGCCACACTAAGTGGAGCTGCCACACAAATGGCATGTGTGTACTAACACATACACTAATATAAAGGCATTCACAGCAGGCACCTTTGGGTGCCTAAATTAAAGCTTTGCATAGGGAAGTACAAGAAGAGAACTCTGATGAGTTTGATGCAATTACAGACATTTCCAAAAATTGAACAGGGTTAGCTTTTTAAATCTTTGCCCAACTTGTGGCAAAAGTAAGCCTCACTTAAGAACCATCTTTTCTTTGATGAAGATCATCAGTGATTAACCTACTCTTTGAAAAGAGAAATCTAGGGCATAGTTAGGAATATGATCACTGCCAGTGTAGCATAAAGTGAGCAATGCAGCGATATACCCCCCTCCTCAGGAGTCAGGGATCATCTGGAAACTGCTTCAAAAGAAAATGCAAAAGACAAAAATTAAAGGAAGAATCAACATTAAATGTAAGATGCATGGTTCAACTCAAGAAATGCTCTGACAACAGCTTCAAGCATTCAAATGGAAAAATGCATCCCTACTTAATATTATTGATTTTGTGACTGGAGAAAAACCCACAGAACATTGTGTCCAAGCTGTGGGAGACGCTAACTGAGGGCAGACAGGTGAATGCGGTCAAAGCCAGTACTTTGTTCAAACAACAAAACTCAAACAGAACAAAAAGCTGGTCAAAAAAACCCTTGTGGTGAAATCAGTTTCACTGTCTGAAATATATTAATTTTATTAGGTCTTGGTGATAATGAGGTAACCCTTAAAGTCTTTTTGCAAAATTCTGACTTTTTAACCTGATGGGAATGTCTTCAGTGACTTCAACAATGTCAGGACTTTGCCATGAAATTGCAATCAGAATTCAAAATGCTTCTGTGACCATTAACCATGTCTTGCTTTGGTCTGAATGTGGCAAACTGCTACTCTTCATTACAATTTTACATCACTTTTACAAAGGGTAGGAGTTATTCACAGCTGCCATCTAAGGAAGGCAGATAGCTGATAAGGGAGAGCAACAAACTCCTGGAAGATCACTGAGTAATTCTAAAATGAGATTTGTATTTAAAAAAAAAATCTTCCTTTCTCCATTTACAGTGAGGGATACCATGGATGTTAACCTTCTGACCTCCAAACCAGGGATGTATTCACTGTATTTGCATGCAGTGCCATATCTTTACTGAATTCAGCAGCGAGCAAAAGGAGATCTTTGATCAAAACACAAAATTATTTACGTACTAGGGGCTTCACAGAAAACCACTGAACTTACAGGTAGAGTAAAATAATAAATTGTCTTTGTAGAATTAGTCACAAAACATGATTAGCATTTTCAGTTTGCAAAACGGTCTCTACTCAAGCACAGCTCCCAAGCAAGATTATTTTTTTCGTGGTGGGAATATTCAGGTCCCAAGAGTCTGGGAACATCCTTGAAGAGGATTACATCTGAAATTATGATTGTCCATTGGTCATTATTTTCACTTCAGTTAAGACAGAGATGTGAATGAAATGCCATTATACACAGTAATGAAGAGGAAATGAAAAGGGAGTCAGATTAGAAGCAAGGACTGATCTCTTCCAAAGCACAGGACTGATGGGAGTGAGCACTCAGTGACAGCACCTCTGGCAGTGCTGCCTGTTGAAGTCTCTGTTAACACCAGACCAGAATCTTGGGCTTTGTGTACTGCCTAAGCCCGACATTTGACCTTTCCTGACACAGGGCATAGTTGGGAAATGTCAACAGCCATAACAAATATTACTGCATGTACCTGGCAAATCACTCATGAAACACTCTTATGACTCTGTGCAGAACCTTGTAAGATGGTTTTGCTTTCTGGAAATAACAGATGTACTGGCAGTACACTAAAATTTTGGTCTACCCCACCCCCACAGACTTGTGTGTGAGCTGACATGCAGGGAACGTGACATTGCAATTGCTCCAGCCTCTTAGTCAACTTAGTTAATTTTCCTGTGAAAACAAGAGAAAAAAAAAAGAAGGTCAGTTTGTAGGCTGGGCACCTACAAATTACTTCAGGAGGGAAGTTTTTCTTTTTCTAAAGGTGCCCACATCGTTGTCTCCCATTCAGGATGGTCTCACATAATAAGTATGTAGAAGACCGGGATAGGTCTAAGTATATACATTTTCATCTGTATCTGCTTTTGCTAAGAAAAATATTTCCACATTTTATTTTAAATAACATCATTTTCTAATGTAAAAGATGATGCAGACTAGTGCAATCAGGAGAAATCCTGAGTAAAGAAAGCGATCTTTAAGGTTACAGTATAGGCTTTCTTGATGTGTATGCATTGTGCCTAAAGTTTCTTCTGTCCTTTCTAGGGGCCTGATTTTCTGCAGAGTAAGTAATCTAAATATGCCGCAGTGTGAAGATAAGATTGTGTGTTCAGTGTGCAGGCATACGTTGCCATTTTTCCTTACCAACACCTCCCACTATTGCTCGGCATGTAGAGGTATTTAATTTGCTGAATTCAACCTGTCATCTGTAACAAATATGTCCTAATCCAATTATATGCATCACAGTTCACTAAGAAGCAGGTAGGAGCCACCAAGCCTTCTTCTCTTTGATCATCCCTGATTTGCACAGTGGCCAGGGGCAAAACCCATGGAGTCTGTGAGAATATATGTGGAGGAAACCTGCAAGGCACAACACCTGAGAGCTACATATTTGATATAAATGACAATTGTTTAAAAGGCACTTCAGCTTCTATTTTACAAAGTTCATTATTGTAGCAAATGTTTTAACATCAGTTTTTTTTCCCTCTATTTCTCTATTTCCATTTATACTGCTGTGCTTTTTCTGATTCCATGGTGGTATTATTGTTGAATACATGGCTGCAACTGTGACTCAATAATTGTAACTATCTGGTTTCCCTCTTTGCCATTAATCTAGTTATTGACTTATTTTCTTAAGAGTCATATATTGCTATGAGATCAGCAGAGAAAAAGCTCATGGAAAAGAGGGGCAGAAAATACAGTTTGTATCCTATGGAAAATTCAGGCATTTGAGAGCTTGTACAATTACAAACTGGATCAAAATATTACATTTTGAAAAATTTACTATTGACCAAAGATTCTAAAATATTTTGTTTTAGATATCTGGGTACTGTGCACCAAGACACTCTCTTTACACAATTAAAATGTTTAATTTTAATGCTATTTAAACCTCAATATTATATAAATATAAAACTTTCAAGCACTTCTGTTTATCCAATTACATATGAGCCGAAATACGTACAGCTTGAAGCTTTCAGGTAATGGTACAACTTGAAGCTTTCAGGTAATTTCCCTTTAAAACATTTCAATACCACAAAACATTGTTTCATCCACATTTTTGGTGAGGAAGCAAGTTCTTTTAGAGAGTTTATAAGACTTACATGTAGATATTCCTTTAGGATTTCCTTTGGGAAACCTGCAATCAGCTATTGTACAATGACTATTTTTTTATCTAGCTATGTGGGTATTTCACGATCATCATTGGATTAATGCATTTTTGGTTTGCAAACAGAATTTTTCAAAGGGGCAAGGGGATGCTGTGCAGACAGACTGCAGCTGCAGATTTGTTGGAGCTATCAGACAATATTGAATGTCTCCTGTCCAAACGCTGAGAGCTACAAGGCTCTATCGACTTCACTGCGGAAACGGATCACAATGAATGAGATTTAAGAAAGGATTAAAAAAACGAGAACAACATTTCCTTATCAAAAAAGCAGCTCACAAAACTTGAGCCTTCCATTCAGGTTTAAAATCAAACTGTTTTCCTGACTGAGCCATTAGACAACATATGGACTAAAATAGATGTTAAAATAAATTAGTGTTTAAACTGTTGCTAGTTCACTTGGCCAGGAGGAAGATATAATTGTTTTTAATATTCATATGTTTACGACAAAGACTGCATGGCTTGGATGACAAACACTGCAGGAAACTTTCCCTTTTTTTTCTCTTTCCCCCTTATGGAAATTGCTGTTTTGATGGCAATCAGTAAGGAAATAATAGAAGCAATTTTTATTTTTTTTTCCTGGCAGCAGGTTTTTAAAAACACGATCTTAAGAGTTCTTTAATGTTTTTGGGCTAATAATGATTCAGTGAATTAATTTAGTTCTCTTGTGAAAATTAAGTGTTTCAAAATTATACACCTATATGAACCACCTCACTCAGAAATACGGCCAGGCCACCAGCTGCAAGGCGGCAGCCACAGGGACAAATGGTGTAACTTTGTAGCTTGACTAATCCTGGACAGGACACTAAGGAAAAGCATTTCTTTTCCAGTCGTTTCCATGGTATCTTTAACACCCAGATAGAGCAAGTAGGACACTGGTTGTTAAAAGTCTCATCCAAATAAATCCTACAAAGTAAATTGCATGGAACCCAATTTATCTACCTTGAATGAAGTTTGCTGGGATTTGAACCTGTGGTTTCAAGAAAAAAACCCAGACAGTTCAAACTTGATGTGCAAATCATTCAGCCATTCTATCAGCTTTAAGACATACACAGTAAATTTGAGACCATACACATACATGTACTAAATCAACACATAGACAGATGTACCTACATTTGCTTGAGATTCATCATGCCCATTGATTTCTGCTAATTCCTTGGCGCTTTTTAACTGCAAAGAGTGAAAAAAACCAAAACAGAACAAAACAAGCACATTACTTCAATATTTCACACAGTTATCTTTGATTTATTTGAAGGAGTGTTTTATAAACCTTCCAATGAGAAAAACAGATGGAGCATATAATTCTAATGAGTTTTTGCTCAAACCATTTTGAAACCAACCTACTTAAGGCTTGATAGGTTGGCAAAAAAAGAAAAATAATAGGACTGGGTCATTATTTTTTAAATAATAAGATTAGAAAGTAGTTTCAAGGCATAAAAGGTACACAGATTTCTCTCTCAAGAATAATAAACAATTTAATTTCCCATTGTTGTTGCTATTAATTTAAACTTTACAATATTTGCAAGTTGCCACTAGCTAAATTGTGTTTTGCCAATGATTACTTTTGAATGATATATTTTGAGGTAAGATGCTGAAGTGCTGCTATACATTGTCTTCCTGACAACATACCTAAATAACTGACATGGCTCCTGGGTATGATGGAAAAGTGAAAGGGGAAGTGAAGTGAAGAACAATTTAACCAGTGGCAGGAAGAACAGAGGGGACACTGCAAATATATGACCTGAACAAAAACTTTTTTTTCCCTCCTGAATTAGCTTTTAGGGGAAAATCCAGGATTACATTGGGAATTGTAAAGATCACTCTCAGGAGATTTAAGGAAAGTCCTAGCTCACATCTTGAGCCATAGTGAAATATGCTGTCATTCATCCTGTGATTGAGCAAACAGAGCAAAGAGGAGACAACTCTCCTGAGCCTATAAGACATGGAGGCTTGTACACTTAAATGAAACTCATAGAATAATTTGCTCTTTAGATTAAGCTCTGAAAAGACATGCTTTTATTGTAATTTAATTCACAATAGATATAATGTGGAGGAAGGGGATGGAGGGAGAGGAGAGGGATGGGGAACAATAAACACAACTTTCCTCTGAATTACTTTTTTTTTGCCAAAGAAACTGGGTTTGGTGTAACTGTTGATTCTACAGCTCTGATTGGCAACAGTTCTAAAATCCTGATGAAATGGAACACTAATATGTATTGATTAGTGTCTGACTCAGAAGTGTTGGTGGACTACAATCCTAGGGGTTTGGTTACCTCCATCATATTTTTACTACATGGCAACAAGAGCTGAACTGAGTGTGATTCAGCTCCCAGCTGTTCAGTTTCCAACCTGACACTTAAGGTAAGCAGGCCATGCTCTGTTTGTACCTTATTATGCAGGGCTGTGAACTGCACCAATTCAGGAACTGCTGCTCAAGCCACTAAACCAGTCCTCATGAACAGGGAAGAGGGCAACACTTCCTGATAAAGTAGTACAAAGGATATCTGGGGACTGCAAAATCATCAGGTCTCCTGGTTCAATTCACTGAAGCTCATCTTTCAAAAGCCTCAAGAAGTCTGCAATTTATACTGACAGCAGGGTGGTGCATTTCCAATGAGTGCTACATGTTTTCCCTACTCTGAAGAAACAACCATCCTGTGAAACCACTCCACTGTGAGGATAGCTGGTAGGAATGAGCTGAGATGGCTACTTCCAGACAAGCACCAGAATTAAGTATTTATGCATCGCAGTGTGATCAGAAGAGCTGTTTCCTGATTCTGCCCGTTCTTCATTATAGAAATTCACCCATCATGAGCAGTCCTGTTGGGTTGAGCTGAGTTACTCATCTGAATATGAGGTCAGGAGAGCGTGCTCAGTTTTGTAAAACTCTTCTGTGTGCTAATGGAACTGTCCTGAGTGCTCCAGGAATGCAGTTCAGTGCTTACGCTTTGCCTTTCCCTTTCTAGGTTTATAAAATGCCATCACCCCTTGGTGACTGTGGCTCCCTGGCAAAGTGCTCTTCTGGGGACATGCCACATCCCCATCAGCCACATCTGGGTTTGATGGGAGACTGGGCTCAGCCTGCAGCCCACTTTGCTCTGGCAGGCTTTCACCCTGCCAAGGTTTCCCTCCATTATCACCCTGGCACTACTTCATTAGTTGATATGATGCAGATAGGATGCTTGAGCCTCTCCATCTCTTTTATTGCACACTTTTATATGCTCTGAAAAACACACCAGAGCTTAGGCAAGAAGGTGCTTGCATTCCTGCCAAGACTAGGACCTCTGCAGTGTAGATAATGGTAGAAAACTTAAGAGTAGAATGTGTGCAGCTGCATTCCCATAGGTTAAAGGGGTGAAGTCCCTTTTCGTACAATATATTTTTTTCTAAATTATTATTTAAATTATATTCTTCTCTCACGTTAAATAGAGAAATGCTGGAATAGGAAGCTTAAAAAAATGTACAATATTGGAAAAACAGGACTTGCCTTGTCCCCTACTCTGATTCCAGGGTAAATCAGGGGCAAATGTGATGTTAGCAATGGACAATGTGCTGAGGCAACACACAGAGCCAGTGCCAGCAACAACCAGGGACCTGGAAGGAGAAGGGATGAGGAATCAGAAGTATCTGAAAAATCTAATGCTGTGGTGGGGTAGGCCTGACTGAAATCAGCGGGCATGAATCCCTCAGACAACCAGAGCTGATGAGCATGTGCCAGACGTGATTCAGAAGCCTTTTGACTGCTGCAATGCAATATGGTGCACCAGCAAGAGGGACTTCTCCCAGCAGGACATCCCAGCCTGGATGTGGCTGGGAGCATGGAGCAGGAATGCTTGGATGGAGCTGCAACCCCCATGTAAACATGCCCTGAGTGAGGCAGGGCAGGTTCCCTGTGCCAACTTGGGATGAAATGCCAATTTTTAGCACACATATCACAAAACCAAGCCATAAAGTCAAGGCAGGAGTCCTGTGCTATTTATTTTTTAAAGAAAAGCTCTATTTACTTGGTTTGGCTGCATGATTTTCAATACCCATTGTGGATAAAACACACAGATAAGCTTGGTGCTTGTAAAGGAAAGCTGTGAGTCTTGGCAAGTGGGGGTCATTACTGCTAAGGCTTCTGCTGTTCTGGAAAGTTTTGGAACTCGTTCAGGGTTCTTGGAGGAGCACACTGGCTGCCTAGCACTCTTCAGGAATTCTGGCTACTTACAGTCTTGGCCTCAGGCATGTTTCAGAGCTAATTCTCAAGAGAAATGCAGATCTAGCTTGCCTTTCTTCCAGCTACTGTTTCGCCTGTCTGCCTAGCATGAGTGCACATTTGATTCGCAATTAGCAACAGTCTGCAGAGATTCAGCAGTCTGCCCTGGTGGTCCCTACTGGGCCTCACATTGCAAGATCTTCCTATATGTTTTTGCAGCATATAATTGGTATAAAGATATAAAATAACTTTGTGCAATTTCTGTTTCTCTTTTTTTTTTTAAGCGCTTTATAATGCTATACCTTAAAAGCCATGTGAAAATGGAAATGAGATGCAATTAACTCAAGAGACCTGGTGGAATCTGTGTTTATAAAGATTCTGTCATTACCAAATCCATTCTTCCTCATGGCATTTTCTGTATTACAGTCTTGCCTCAGCTTTCATTTAGGTTATCTCTGTGACCATAACAGCAAAGAACATAAATGCTTCTAGAATCTAAATTACTAGTTTGTAGAATATATTTGTCATTAGATATGGTCAATGATAAATGTTAAATGTGGAACAATGTCCTAACTTTCATAATGAACAAAAAAAAATCAGAAATAAACATAATTTACTTTTCCTAATATGTACATTAATTCTATCATCTGTCTGCAGATATATTCAGACCTACATGATGAAAAATCTTGAACATTAGAATCATCAGCATTTTGAATTGCCACCTAAACAATTCAGATCCCCCAGACCTTAAACTGCAAACACTTAACCAAGCCATCAAATATTTTAGCTGAGAGTTTATATAGAAAGGGTTAAAATAAGGTCTCAAAGCAGAGACTGTGCCTGTGTCGCACAGGTGGGGATTTTAAATTTCAATTTCAGTGTGTCCAAGCCACATGGTCTAATCAGAAAACACATATTTGTGCACACTGTGCTTGCACATATAGCACTGTTTCTTCTCTAGATTTACAGATTTAGGGCCAGACATGCTTTTTGCTTTGTAGCTATCCATCTTACCATCCTTATAAAACAATACTGTCAAATGTACTTCTCTGTGTCATAGTACACCCTAGTATGAAAGAAGGTGGGATAATCAGATTTACAGAGATTTGATTCTCATTGCTGAAATAAGTGCATTGATAACTGCTTTTTAAATGCCATTGTTATAATGCTACTGTAAGTTTTTTATATACTCATACTTGTGTGAATTACACAGGAGATGCCAAAATGTTTTTTTCAATACTATTCTTAAAAGGAAGAACTGTTTTGGCTCAGCTATATTTAACTTCCCCAACATTTTTTTAAATTCAGAGCAAAAACACTTACCACTGGTATCTATATAGAATACTTAAGAGGAAATACTACTCAAGACGTGAAATCCAATATTGGATAGTATAAAGTAAGGGTCCATTTTCACTCTATTATCTGAAACTCTGTTAACCAAATCAGAGCAGACAGACAGGACACGTAAGGTTAGGTCTTGCTCACAACATATTCTGTGGTCAGACTCCTACAGGTTTTGGAGGTGAAGCCATGAGACTTTCAGAGCTAATGGTTTTGCCTTCCTTCCTCGTAGCATGCCTAAGCCAGCAATTTTCTCCTGCCAAAATCACTCACCTGTTCCTGCAGGACTTTAAGCATTGCTTGTGTATGCGTTTGCTCTTCCTTTGCTTGCTCCAGTTCAGATTTTTTGTTATTTAATTCTTCCTGTATGCTCAGCAATTGCTGCACAAACAAAAGAAGTTTCTGGTTAGCCTCGTCTGGATCCAAAGCAGTTTAAAATCCCCAGTTTGACAAATCCTCATTTCAAACAATGTTTTGCAGTCTGCTCCTACATTTATTATTGTTGCATAATCTGCTGTGTCTAAATGGACCAGAGGTAAATTGTTTTCATCTGCATCTCCTTCTGCGGCAGTGCACCACGAGTAATGCATCTGCTAATGTGCGTTAAGCTATTTGTTACATTAAAGCAGAAACTCCTGGTACAGCGTGTCATCCACAGAGTGACTGTCACATTCGTCTGAACCAAAATCTTATTTGTAGAAGAATATGTGGTGGTTTTAATAAGACTGGGGTAAACACTATGGCACATAAATAATTTAAAAGCACAGCCCTTTAATATAATTAGTCATTGGCCCACAGCCATTTTCATTCTATGCAAAGCAATATTCTGGAAAGCTTTCAGACTGACTTGCCAAGAAGACAAAAGCTTTCCTTTTTTTTTTTATTTTTTTTTATTTTTTGTCTTGTGCTGCAATATTTTATTAGATCAGGAAGACTGATGCCCTACAATCAATATATCAGCCAGGAAGACTACTGATCTACTGTCAAAACAAAAAGCTATGACCAAAATCTATTTTTATTAAGAGAATTCTGGGATGAAGGAGCATATTTGAAAGCCCACGTCCCCTGGTCTTTGCTAGCTTTAGATTCTGCATAGATTTATTGTGACTGTCAAGAGCAGGTCAGTAGATTTAATTAATTCTGAAATACTTATATGTTTTTGCATTGATTTGAAGAACGTTAGACAATGATGAAGAGCAAGAGCAGACAAAGAGGCTAAGAAAAGAGTTCATGTGTTTTCTCTCAGTGAATAAGAAAAGAAACTACGACTTTTTGGGGCAACATATTGCTTGTTAGCACACTTCATTTAAAGGAGTAATTGAACTACTAATTGCTTTACTAACATGCATTACTGATTTAACCATGTACCTACATTTAAAGCTTAGTTTATGGTTGTGCTTAGGGCTGGTGGCTGACTCAAACTGATGATGCAGGTGTTCAGCATCTTGGTAAGCTACAGACAGCAAACCTAGAAAAAGTCTTGGCCTTGTTCCACTGCACTGGAAGTCCCAGGCATCAAAGGACATGGTGTCAGCATTGTTTTCAGAGTGACTTGGAAACAGATGACATTTCAGGGACTGGTGGTGTTATTGGTAGTATATTTCTGTTGTAAGTGAACATCAGTATGATGGATTAATTCAGCCACTGAAGTAAAAATACACGTGGGTATATGTCTGATTATATCTCACACACTCTACAGTCCAGCGGAGTTGGTTAGCTTTTTGATGGATCATACCACCTGGACTGTTCCCTGGGAGCCTTCAAGAGACATTCTGGTATGTGTTTTTACTCTACCACAGCACAAGATCATTTTGAATCTCAAGATTTTTCCATTAAATAAATAGATCTCTTCCACTGAGGCTCATACCCAAACAACTGTTGTGTGGGAAACTCTGCTTTGGCATTTCTCGAACAGGGACGTGTTCACCTTGCCTGTTGGGTACTACTTCCCACATTTCCAAAAGACACACTGGATTTGTGTACACTGCCATAGGTCACACGCTGATACCCATGCAGGTTCCCATGCAGAAGGGACCATCCAGTCACCCCATGGAAACTTATGTTATAACATACATTTAAGGTTCACCTAGGATAGGTCTAGCTGATGTCTGCAATTTAGAGAGAATGGACTCTAGTCCTCAGAAGAGAAGCAGAGAACACAAAACACCAGAAAGATGCCATAAGCCCTCTCAGTGGTCACTAGCTGAAGCACCTGAGGAGTGATAAGCAGACCGTCACCTACCTAATAGCAGCCAGTGAGATGTCATCTCCTTTGCAGCTGCAACCTGTTTGACCTCACACACCTGAACATATCATGAGAAAGGAGTCTTTGCCCCCATTTCAGAGTCTTCTCTGAGCAGTTATGTCTCCCCTGTGTGGCCAGACTCCACCTTCATCCTGGTTGAGAGGATTTTACTCCAGCTTCTGGGAAAAACCCTACAGGCCACTCTTTCGAACAACATAAACTCACATCTGGATGATCCCAAGAGAGTTTCATTTCATCTTGCCCCTGAATAATCTTTCACTAGTGAACAACTGTTGCAAAGGGGAAACCAAGACTGACTCTTGGGTTGACCTTGTTTACACAACTGAACTTAAACTTCCTTCTCTATCCCACCCACCCCCTCCCCATGGCTCTTCCACATTTCACTTATTGAAGATCAGCTCACAAACATCCACTGTTTTGTTTTCACATCTCTCACTGTGATCTCCCACTGTGATTTAGTCTAATTATATATCTCTTCTTTTGACCCTGACTTTTTCTGTTTTGTGTTTAAGGCAATTTTTCCAAAACTGTCGGAGCATGGGAGGAATTGGTGTGGAAGACACTGAGAGCCCAAGAAAGAGAGGGAGATGTGATGCTCTGCATCTTTGTACTTGGCTCTGGACCAGCGAGGAACAGGAACCCCAGGAAAATATCCAACACTCTCAGTTTCCCTGGGGTAATAGAGTGTGCACTCTTTTTGGAGTATGAACTACAAAGTGCTTGATATGAGATAAAACCTTCTAGCAGTCTTAGTGGTTAAACTGTCAACTATTGAAGGTTTACTGTGTGTGCATAGGCTTCAAAGACAGTAAATGTGTCCTATTTTCACAGGGGTGTAAAGCAGAGTAACTAATATATTCTATCCCCATTCATACATAAGGTTTTCCATTCACAGGACTGGGACCTTCTAATTCAACCTCCAGAGATGTCAAAATTATTTAAAATTTGGAGCCATCCCTTGGGGGTTTAACTTTCTTTTTCTCTCCCTCATATTTATCTCTAAAAGCTGCAGAATCTGCTCATTTTGCATGGGTCAGGTTTGCATATTTCTTTTTCCTGGGCGCTTGATGCTGCAACCAAAAAGTTGTAACAAGGAGTTATACCTGCCAAACAGCATATTTTTCTCCTTTAGTCTCATTTTGGAAAATAAAGAAATAAATGTGACTGAAAAAAATATCAGCCTAAGACAGATGAACAGCCTGAAAAATTTCAGCACAAACATGTGATGTTTGGCAAAGTTAGAAGCAAATAGGAAAAGGATCTCACACTGGCAGAAATGAGACAAGTTTCATAACAGGGACTGCTGTCACGCCTGCTTATAAACAGACAGGTTTTCCATAAAGATTATAATGAATGATGCCAATATGTAGGTATTAATTATTCAGAATTCCTTTTTCATACATAAATCTACTTATTAAAAATTGATCCTATAGATATTTCTTTTGCCCTTCAAATTTCTTGCAAATATATACCACAATCAATCAAAATAAAAAAATATCCTTGGTTTCAATAATTATGCTGTCTGATACTGTTCCACTATTTTGCCATCTCACACAGCCTTTCTGCCAGAGTTTCCCCATGTACGAAACCGACCTACTACACTGATGATCACCACAGCTATACAAGTGTCTGTTCTTTTAATCTTTCCTCACATCTCTGGCCATTCCCTTTAAGCCCTGATGTTCCCAGCTTTGTGACACAGCATTCAGACAGAAGTTCCCCAGTTCTATCAGGCAAAGAACTGATTTCATGGCTATACAGCCAGGAAATATCTGACTCATATTTCTGTTTTATTCCATGTCCTCAGTGTGCAATTCTTTGGGTCTGTGAGGGTGCCCTGCGTGTTATGGAAGTGTCTTTTCCCTCAACCAAAGTGCAAGTGTCAGGAAGCGGAAAAGCACATCACAGAGGTCATCACAGCTCTGATGATCCTGAAGAGAGACACCTGCAGAGCTCCACCAGTAGCAGCCTGGAAGCTCAGCTGGTCTACGTGCAACCAAAAGCGTTTGTCACCACGGCTGCCAGCTTGACCCTAGGAGATGGAGCTGTGTAGTAGGACCAGATCAGACTGGCAGACATCACTAATATCTTCTTACCGGTATTTCCAGAGAGGTGATGGGAAAGCCAGAAAGAATTAACCTCCTGGTTGCTTGTCCAGAGATCAATCAATGCATTTTAGACCCCCCCAAAAAAACGCAAGACACTGCTTCCAGTGGCAAACTGGTCTGTGTAGAAATGGTAGATATCCCTATTCCTTCTTTCATGAGGATGAAAATCCTCCCTGTACATAATAAGCGGGTAGCTAATTTCGTTATGTGGGGCGAAAGAGGGTGTGTGCTTTATTTTGATTTTTTTTCCCACATTCCCACTCCAATGCTGAAGCCCTGCCAGAGACAGTTCAGTACCACCCATATTGCATAGATCTCAAAAGCACAGACAGAAAATTACCATCTTAAACCAATCTTCACAGCTTCTGAAACATTAAATATAGATGGCATTATTGAAGCCAGCTGAATTACTCAGGCTGTGTACAATGCAGTGCCAGTGTGGCCAAGAATGCTAACAACTGAGCAGCACACACTGCCTCGGAATATATGAGAAGTCCTAAAGGGAAAGTAATAGCTTGCTGTTGTGTAGCACTGTGCAGCCATGAAATACTCCTTCTCTTTCCTCTCTTCCTCCTTGCCCACAGTTCTTCATTGCTCCCCAAAAGGCAGTGTGGATTTGAATATAAAATATGGACATACCTAGAAGTGTAGTTACATCCCAAGCCTAGTTGGACAGACAAGGATCCCATAACGAAAGCATGATTTCCAGCATGAAACCAACAACTTTGCGTGCAAAGACAAGGGAGGCAGACCAGAAGTGACCGCATGGCCTGAGGCTGTACTTAGGATGCTGTAAGGCTGACAGAATAATGAAAAAAGAAAACAAGCACTTGCCACAAGTTTAGCAGTTATACTCCTGATTGGTCCTGCCCCTGCTATTTTGTTTATGATTTTCTCTACAGTTGCTTGAAATGAAGTACAAAAAGGTTACAAAATCTTAAAGAAAGGGCAGTAAGGAGGAGCAGACAAAAGAACACCTCTGGGGTGGGAGTGCTGACGTTGATCAC